AACAAAATCATTATTAGTAATAAAAAAACCCACAATACTTAAATGTGGCAGAAATATGAGTTCACTGGACGGGTAATGTAAAAATCTAAAAAAAAAATTATTCATGCCTAGCACTCACACAGACAAACACTCATCCACACACGACAACAGAAAACAAATGGGTGGGGGGGTACTTTTACAGGCAGACATTACCTCGTGTAGTGTTATATAAACAGCTGAGTGATTAGGGGCCAGGTGTATTTTTGAATTTAAATAAGTTTTTTATGGTACAAAATTTAGATAGTTAGGAATAAGCAAAATTTATATGGCATTTTAAAAAAAGCTATAAAAGAACAACCAATTTCGTCCCAGCCTTATCAAGTTTATTTTCTGGGATATAAAAAAATGTGTAAGCGTGTAAATTAAATTAATTTAACGATTGGAAGGGAAAAAAATGATTTTCAAGAAAAGTAGAGTCCAATAACATTCAGGCCCTGTAAGCATTCCCTCTGTTTACAAAGGGAAGCCCCACGGGATCTGATATACAAGGACTCTAGAACCTGGGTGTCGAACGGTCTCGAAAGGCAACTCTTAGTTTAAAACCCGCGGAGGTTCTGTTTGAGGGCTTTGTAGCATACTGTATACCAGTTCTCTGTATTCAGCTCTTCCAAAAAGTGTAGATGGTTCGACAGAAGGCTTCACCTTTTTAATTAAAGATATATTCGGGTAGTTTGGCTGTTGCTTCTAAGAATTGAGCTTCTTGAGCCTCATAGGTAGAAAAGGACGGGGAGAGTATAGTATATATATATATATATATATATATATATATATATATATATATATGTGTGTGTGTGTGTGTGTACTTGTGTGTGTGTTTCACCTAAACGGATAGAGTTTAAGGGTAGCTAAGAATAAGCAGGATTTATATGGCATCTTAATGTATATTTTAAAAGCTAAACAAACAAAAAAAACAACCGGTTTTGTCCCAGACTTATCAAATTTATTTCTGGGATATAAAAAAAATAAACGTTTAAACTTAATTGATATTAATGATAACCAATGTAGGGGAAAAATAAATTTCAAGAAATCTAGAGTCCAATAATATTCAGACCCAGTCAGCATTCCCTCTGTTTACAAAGGGAAGGCCCACGGGATCTGATATACAAGGACACTAGAACTTTTTGTATTTGTATCTCGTTAGTAAAAGAATAAAATAATTGAGAATTACTATTACGATTGGTGTTATAGTTATGCAGAAAATACTCCTGTCCACCCTGAAGACTGCTTGGTGCTAACGAAAAGGTATTTGCAAAATAAGGAAAATGCCTAATGACAGTTGAATATCTCGAACAAAACTGACCGTTTATGAAGAACCAACTTTTATTAGAGGACAAGTTGTAGTATTTTTCAGATATGGAGATTAACTGTTGAGATCAACTCAAGCAGAATGATGGCAAAATAACGCTTTAAGATTATATTAGACCGTAAAGCTTTTATCGCCATTCCCAATTAGCTGGATTTGGAAGGGCGGAAGTCGAGGGTCATAATACCCGGAGAGAAACCAGCATGCTGGTACTACGGCTAAAATGGATCATCTATCCGCAAAGCGGCAAAGAAGTCTTAAAGGAAATGGCAGCAGAAAGAACAACGCCTACTCAGAATCAGGTGGTGTCTTAGCAATAGGTAAAAAAACTGCTCAGAGCCACATGAGGTAGGATGTTGTAGATAGTGTGAGATATTGTCGGAAGCATACAAACACACACAAAAAAAACTATACACAATTCTAGTGGACAAAAGAGTTGTGCACAGTCCAATAGGCAAATCAATTCCACAAAAGCTGACTCTCTCCATTCCTCAATCTCAAGTAAGCAATTTATTTACTTGACCCCCACTGAGTCAGGTTGTGGCACAAGGTCGGTTTTTAACGTGGGGACCTTTGTGTTTTCACTCGGGCCACTGGTCCAAGCTGGCCTTAGCTGGTCATAGCTTGTTCAAGCTGGTCAGAGCTGGTCTGAGCTAGTCATAGCTGGTCTTGGCTTGTCCTAGCTGGTCCAGACCCGAGCCGGTCCAAGCTAGTCGTAGCCGTGATCGAATCTCAGCCAAAAGGCCGAGAAGCGATCATATCTAAGGTAAGCAACTCTTCTCACCAAAAACAAGATCCTCATTTGAATGAGCGTATTGTGTTTTTATGCGCCTGACACGCCAACGCTTAGCCAATGAGTGCACGGAAATAGTCAATAAAAATGGCTACAAGCAACACCACCATTTCGCCCCACACAAAATGCTCTCTGATTCAGGACCTTCACTACACTTCTCACAATGTAGAAAGTTGTGGAGAGCTATGGTCACCTATGTCCTGAGAGGAGGTGGCACATAGGACAAAACTAGAGGCAGCAGAAATGTGATTCTACAGAAGGATACTGAGAATTCCATGGACAGAGAAAGTAAGAAACAAGGAAGAAAACTTATACTCAGAATCAGGAAAAGATAGCTACAGTTTCTTGGAAACATGATGAGAAAGAAGGGCTAGGAAAACTTAACCCTCATGGGGCATATTAATTGCAAGGGAGATAGTGGTGGAAGTATTAACAATGGGAGAAAAACTACTCAGAGTCACCTGAAGTAGGATGTTGTGAGAATTGGTCCAAACTATACACAATTCCAGTGGGCAAAACAGTTGTGCACAGTCCAATAGGCAAATCAGTTCCACAAATGCTGACTATCTCCATTCCTCAATCACAGGTAAGCAACTCCTCTCACCAAAAACAAGATCCTCGTTTCGTTTGGTTTAGTTTATTTTGTTTTACGACGTATGAAACTCAATCGGTTATTCGCCCATAGTTGGGAACCTAACAGGTGCTACAACCCCAGGTTAGGGTGAACCTGGGAACACTAGCAATTAAGAGATGGCTCCACGCTCCTCAGAACCTCCCCGATCAGAGGCCTTGCTGATGGGCGTAGGTTATTGTCTTACCCAGGACAAAGATGAACGTTTAATTTGGTTTGGTTTGGTTTATTTTGTCTTAAGGCATATCAACCTCAATGGATTATTTAATGCCGGCAACATTTTTAGGATGGATTCGTACGAATAGAATATATATTCTTTGATTTAGATTGGTTTAGTTTTTGTTTTACGGCATATCAACCTCAGTAGGTTATTTAATGCCGACTAAATTTTTTATTGTTGGTAATATTTTGTTTTGTCAAAAATCTGTCTGGTAATATTTTCCCCTCCAAACTGTGCTACTATTAATAATCTAAAAAAAAAAATTATTACTTGTAATAGTTAACTATTTGCCCATAGCTGGGACCCAAATAGGTGCTACCACCCCGGGTCAGGGTGGGCCTGGGAACACCAGCAATTAAGAGGTGGTTCCATGCTCCTCAAAACCTCCTGATCAGAGGCCTTGCTGCTGGGCGTAGTTTATCGTCTTACCCAGGACGAAGATCCTCGTTTGAATAAGCGTATTGTGCTTTTATGTGCCTGACCAGACATCGCGCAGCCAATGACCGCCCAGAACTAGCCAAGAAAAATGGCTACAAGCCATACCACCACTTCACTGAAAAAACATACACACAACTCTGGCCCTTTCCGCACCAGATAACCACTATAAATGACTAATGTTCTAATAGTCTGTAGCTTTTGGGTAAGCATAAAAAGAAGAAAAAATATCAGGGATTTTTGCACATAGTAGAAGTTTTCACTGATCTGGTGTCTTCAATAATGTTGTCATTTTAAGTTTGTATCACTATTACTGTTATTTTCACTCTAGTTTCAGGCATTAGAAATATGGTTCTACAGGAAGATGGTGAGAATGCCATGGACTGAACATGTGAGTAACAAGGAAATTTTATTGAGGACAAAAGAGATGGAAGTTAGCAAGCCACTTTTCTGATTATATTGTGTAAATGGATGGCAGAACAGAAAAGGGATAAAAACTTCCATGAGCCTAACAAGGTAGAAAGTTGTAAAGAACCATGATCGCCTATGCCCTGAAGGGACGCGGCACATAGGAGAAAACTAGAGGCAGCTGGAATGTGATTCTACAGCAGGATACTGAGAATTCCATGGACAGAGAAGTAAGTGATATGTCCCGGAAAGGAATATATTTGTTCGAAGTAGCAAAGTGGTTTTCGACTACTATAACCGAGTAGTACAATCTAGCAGGTAACCGTAATGGACTGGTCCTCGTTGTAGTGGTAGGCAATAGGCGGAGGCAATAGGCGTCATCCATGTACCTCCACATCAGTCTGTATTTATGGCTGACACCAGCCAATCATATTACTGTGAGAGGGAACCCAGGTGTATGCATATTCAGTACATCAGTAAGCAGCAAGGAAGACTTAAAGTAAAATGGCAACAGAAAGAACACTTGTGCTCAGAATCAGGAAAAGACAAATGAAATTTCTTGGACATGTAATGAGAAAGGAGGAATAGGCGAATTGGGGGTGAGGTGAGTGCAGGTTAGATAGGGGAAGGCAGCGAACCACTTATGGCAAAACGGGTGGCAGGGGCCATAGCAAAGGGAGAAAAATGCTATATAAACGAAATAGAAAGCTGTGGAGAGCCATGATGTCCTAAATCCGTCTTCTGTCCAGCGAAAGAACAGAGAGAAAGAGTAACTCTCGAACCCTTACTGTGACAACAGGTAAATAAATCATAGCGGGAGTTGCCTACAACCCAGACTAATCAAGCAGACCTGGAGAAAACTCAACCTATCGAATGCCGAGGAAAACTCTTAGAATGAGTCTCTCTCTCTCTCTCTCTCTCTCTCTCTCCCTCCCTCCCTCCTTTATCACCTTTTCGTTTTTCTCTCTCTTATCCCTCCACTTTATCACTCTTTCCCCCCATCTTATCTCTTATCGCCAACTTTAAATGTCTTTCTTTTTCTCCTCCACTTCCCTTCTTTTTTATCTTTCTTTTTTATTTCTCGTCTCTCTCTCTCTCTCTTCTCTCTTGTTTCTGTTTATTTCCCCCTTCTCTCTTTTTCACATTTAATCCCTCCTATCTTTTTTCTCAGTCTCCCTCATCTCTCCGCATTTATCTCTCTTTCTCATTTTCTCCATATCTCTTTCCTTCTTCCTCCTTTTCTCTTCATTTCCTCTCTTTCAGCCTCGCTTATCCCCTTTCTTTTTTTTTCTTTCTCTCTCTCTTTCTTTTATCTTTGTTTTGTTTTTACTTTGTCTTTCTTCTCACTCTGCCTTCAACTCTCTTTCTCCTTTTATCTTAGTCGCTTTCTTTCCAACTTACTTCTCCCTTTTCTCCTTTTCTTTCTCTCCCTCTCTTTCTCTTTTATCTTTCTTTTTACTTCTCCTCTTTGACCCCGTGTCATTTGGCATTTAACTCTCTTTCTCTCTTTATCTCAATATCCCGTTTTCCCCCCTTTTCTTTCTCTCTTCCTGTTCTTTTTTCGTCTCTTTTTACCTTTTTTCTCTATCTGACTCTCCTCCTCCTCCTCCTTTATCTCTCTTCTTTTTCTCTCTCTTTTTCCTGTCCCTTTATCTCTCTCTTTCTCTCTCATTCTTTTTTTTTATTTTCTTCTCCTTTTCTAAGTATCTTGTCTTTTCGCTTCTTTTTCTCTTTTCTTTTTCATTTTCCCTGTCTCCTCTTTTAATACATCTTCGACTCTCCCTCTCTCTCTCTACACACACACACACACACACACACACACACACACACACACACACACATATATATATATATATATATATATATATATATATATATATATATTCAATGGAAACAGTTGCATCCCTACAAGTCTTATCATATAAGCACTGGTTAAATTTTTACTTCTTTTTATTATTACTCATCTTATCAAACAAATCTCAGATTTCCTTGGGAAAAAATATTTTCTTACTTGTTCAAAACTGGTCAGAGGTTTATTTTTCACAGGAAACATAACACCAGAAAATTCTCACCATTAAAAAGAATTACATAAGAACTTAAAAAAAAGAAAAGAATTATTATTGCAGCCGTAGTAGTAGTAGCAGTAGTGGCGAATCTGGCAATTTTAGACATGAACGCACTTGTAGCAAAGGTGGTAGCAGGTGTAGTCGCGGTTGAAGCGAAAGTTGTCGTATTAAAATTGACAGAGAAAAAAATACACACGTGCTAAAAACAATTCAAAATGCACCAAGAAAAATCGTTGAATCGCTAAAAGAACTTGTATAAATCGAAAGCGTTCCTTAGCTTTTGCTGTCAGGAATTGTATCATCGATTAGCAATAATAATAATAATGTTAACATATGCAAAATATATACAAGTTTGGTTAATATTTTGGTTATATTTCGAAACATTTCCCAGGAAAATGTAACAAAAAATTTCTGAATGCTGTGTATAAATCCGCTGGTCCACTTGCTTTGTAATAATAACAAATCATACAGCATATACATTGGATACTGGACCACTACAATATCGCGCCGATTAACTTGTCATTTATTTGATAATATTTCAAATACAACGAAAAAAAATTATATGTAGTGCATATGAATATATCTGCCATTAAATTTAATAGTTTCATTTAACGTTAACGAGAAGATAAGTCTTTTGAATTTTTCTTTATCTATTCACTAGTCATGAGAAGGTACGGTGGAGTAATGCGACTCGGACTGAGAAATCGGAGGGCCGAGTTCGAATTCCAGTCGAATCCATTACATTCGCTTACGTGCTAATACCCTTGGAAAAGATATGAATCCTCTTTTTCTCCTTCCCCCACAAAAAATGGGTAAATAGCAGGACAGGTCTAGTTCTATAGAGTTGGATGGCAACTGGTCTACCGCAAAAAGAAATGGCAACCTATTGCGGAAAAAAAAATCTGCCCCGTCAGTCATGTATCGAAAGATACATGATCGCCTCAGCGTGTATCACGCATGGCACATAACTGACTGAAGTTTTGTCTCTCGTTTTTTTTATTAAATTTATCGGTAAATTTGCCAAAGTTTATATTTATTTCTATTTATAGCATTTTCCCGGGTACTTTCAAATATGGTTACATTCATTTTAGAAGAGGATTGTTCTGCGTATATTTACGATTTTTTAAATTCCTCCGTTCTCACGTTTGATCGAACCAATTTGAAGCCACTCAGTTAATATATATATATATATATATATATATATATATATATATATATATATATATATATATATATATATATAATGTGTCTGTAGTGATATAATAGAAAAGAACTATTAGATTGATGACCCTAAGTTTTTGTTTTTATTTTTAAAAACAGACCTCGATACAGAAGTAGAGCCTAAATTATAATTATTTTTGAAAAATATGATTCCATCGTGACAAAGAAATTACGATGTTTCGAAACTGTTCATCCGTATTCAAAACGTGTCATTTTTATTTTTTTCAATATTAAACCTTAATTGATGAGAGGCAGTTTCATCCTCAAGCAATGTTTGGAATAACTAAGCAACGAAATGTTTTATTCATTTATAGTTTTGAAATAGAGGTGTAATCTGGGGTTTATTTTTTCATTTCAAGGGGTCTCTGCTTTGATGAAAGAAGGGGTATTTGTTATATGTCAAGTTTTTAGTCGTGTAAGGTTTTTTTTTGGGTTTTTTTTTTATCAGCCTCCATTCCATTTTTTTATTACTATCTTCTAAAACTCTGATTGCTGTTGTAGTTACGGCCCTTTGGGGTATTCATTTATTTATTTTTGTTTTTTCTTTTAATGATGACTTAAAGGGGCGCTAAGATTATGATTGGGCTGTATTTTCAAACCTGTTGTTTTAATATATAATATTTATATATATATATATATATATATATATATATATATATATATATATATATATATATATATATATATATATATATATATATATATTGTGAAATGGACAAAAGTCCCACAATTATTTTTTTAAGATATTTTTTATGTTTATACGTTCTTTTTATGGATACAAATATTTAGGTAAATGCTGTTTATAATAGGCACTTTATAAACAGAGCATATACTTATAAACAGAACCGTCATAGAAGCTGTTATAATATAACAGGCTCTATGCCGGTTCCGTATAGGATACAGGTTCGATTCCTGTCAGAGGACACATATTTTCTATAATAATTTCTCGGACATTCAGGCCGGTAAATGTTGTTAATACTGTTTACTATAAACTGAGCATTTACTTAAATATTTGTATCTAAAAAAAGAACTTATGTTATAAAAAATGTCTTAATATATATATATATAATTCTGTTAGATCTATCTTTGTTTCCGTCTGTCCATCTATATATATTATGAAATGGACAAAATCTGACAATTATTTTAAGACATTTTTTTCATAGACACAAATATTTAAGTAAATTTTCTATGAAAATTTCTCGGACATTCAGGCCGGTAAATGTTGTTAATACTGTTTATTATAAACAGAACATTTACTTAAATATTTGTATCTATAAAAAGAACGTGTAAAAATTAAAAAAATGTCTTAAATATATATAGAGAGGGAGAGAGAGTGGGAGAGAGAGAGAAATGCGCGGGCATGACTTTTATTTGTAAATCTGCACAAATTCAAATCTCGGATACATAGGCGTGCGTCTTCATCTTCTTCTTGAAGTTGTGCCTCGTGTGTTTGTCTCCCGACTTCTAACATCTACCAACATATATGCCATCTTCGGCCACATAGAGTCTTCCAGGCCGCACGGTCTTCGCTTTTATTAATAGAGGGGAAAGGTCAAGCGGTAAGGTCGGCGATTTGTCTTTTTTTGGCTCGTATCTTAGCCATTCGATACTATGATGGCGTCTTTGAGATGCCCGGCTCTCATTGAATCCATAAGCAGACGCTTTCTCGTTTTACATCCGATCAACTTCGTCTCATTTAACGTCACCACTTCTTCATTGGACTAAAGTTGATACTAATTAGTTCCAGCAAAAGGAATGGTAACTTTGGATAAACGCTTTTAGAGTTTTAGAATCGTCGGAGTGGGTTGGGAATGGCTTTAACCCTAACATACAAATGGAAAGAGAGAAAAATGTTTTGGCTATCTCCATATTCTAAAGGTAGTAATAATATTAGCAGCTTTCTTATAAGGAAACATTCGTTGACCGAGCAGCCAATGCTGCTTCAGCATTTCATAAAATCTTTCTATCAAAATAGGTACCTCTAAAAATTCGTTAAAAAAGAGCATACCTCGATGAAAAAATGCCCCAAATTGATACAAACAAAGTTCTATCGTCAAAATGTTTCTTCTTATTAAGAGGAAAGACCAAAGTATTTTTTCCTAATATTTTATTAGATTTTTAATCCTTTCGAGCAGGTTCGAAATTTTGGTTAAAAATCTTATTTTCTTGCGTCAGCGGGTTTGCCAAAGCTTACTATTAGTAAATTTAGCGTACACTATTTACATTGTCCTCATCTTTGTTACCATATTTATCACAACGTTTCGGCCGTTGTACGCTCCGGCCTTCTTCAGGTGGTTGGAAATTCTTGTAAAAATCAAATAATGGTTGGATTTTAATGAGATTGCCAGGACTTATTCATAAATAAATTAAATTATTTTTTAAATATTTCTTTTAGAAAATCTTGATATATATATATATATATATATATATATATATATATATATATATATATATATATATGTATGTATGTATGTATGTGTGTGTGTGTGTGTGTGTGTGTGTGTGTGTGTGTGTGTGTGTGAAAGAGTTCTTTCAGGTCGGTTGGTTGGTTGGTTGATTTTGTTTAGCGGCATATCAACATCTCTATGGGTTATTTAATACCGAAATGTAAATATTATGAACACAAATTTATGGCTTCAATTAAATCATACTTATTATAAAACCCAGGTTGTGTGTGTGTGTCTGTGTCTGTTCGTTTATATATTGGATCGGATTTCCTACATTTTTCAACCGATTTCAACAAAACTTCACAGGACTACGTAAAATAACCTTGCGGTGGTTCTGACAGCACAATAGTTTTTGCACGAAATCAATTTGAAAACACGATTAAGAAGCATCGCGAGAATGACAGGGGGACAACTCATATCGAGTTATACTTATTATAAAACCCAGGTTGTTTGTGTGTGTGTGTGTGTGTGTGTGTGTGTGTGTGTGTGTGTGTGTGTGTGTGTGTGTGTGTTCATATATGTGATCGGATTTCCTACATTTTTAAACCGAATTAAAAACAAAATTTCACTTTTTTTTGGCAGG